AGAGAACTATTATTAAATGTATGGATTAAATTGGTATCTGAATTATTTTAAAACATTAACCATTTAGTAGGTTATATCAACAGTACTTTAATAGGATTATTAATTAGTAATTATATTTTAGAAAAATATTTCATATTTTATATTATTTGAATTATTTGTATTTTAAAGATAAAATATTATTTAAATGGTTTATAAATTAATGACAATAATCAATTACATTGATAATTTTTGAATCAATATTTAAATATATAGTATAATTATATACAGTAATAGTAAATTTAAATCACTTCAAAATACATTTTATAAATAAAGTATAATGATACAATTTAAATATAAGAATAAATTGAATTAATTTTGATTTTAATTTAATTTATAATAAATGATAATGGTAATATGAAAGCACCAATGTCACTTCAATGTCACAGACATTAAATTCTTGTAAAACATTAAATGAATAAAAAGCAAGAAATAGTGTTTGGTTTGAAAGTCGCGCATTGAATGCAACCAATGGTCGGCTTTTCAGTGCATTTATTGTGAAAAATACCGCAAATATTCAGTGAAACCGAGAAATGAACTCAATTTTCATATAATATTTGTATTTTAAGCACATTTCCATTGATTAGGTAACTAAACCACGGTGTGCACGTGATAGTGACTGGTCTGTACGTAAATATTATAGTCACCTGTAATCGTCACTTACAGCCTTCGCTACCTGTTTCTCTACCGACTGAGCCTCCACTTACCAAACCTCGGCAAGAAGAGTCACAAAATAGTTGTTCCCAACGAATGGAAACGGAAAGTGAGGTCAGAGTACATGAGATTAGTTCAGATCAAGAGATATAAACGCAATGATGTGATGAAGGTATGTGTCAATCATATGTTGATCGTCTTGTTGCTGATGACGGCTGTTGTGTCCAAAGGGTGCATACATTGCCAACAGGAGGCAGATATTGGAAGCGCTGCAGAAGAACAATAGATCCAAAGCCGAGTCCAACGCTTTGGTGCGATTCCCGACTGATGTGCCGACCCATCACTCCATTATGAAAAAGGTATACAAATTGTCTTCATTTATATGTGACATACACTGAAGAGCTAATCCATGGCTGGTTTGCAGTGCGAAATGCGTCCCTTCGATACCTCCAACTCTAATAACAAGCAATCGGTTCCCATTCGGATGATGTATGCCGTGACCCCCATCCCCACCATGTAATGAGTCGCACAATCACTGCCACACATTGTCTCTCGACTAACGCCATACCTGTCCGTTAGGTACACGTGGGCTCCCATTCAGCAGAACTTTATGGTCGAAGACGAGACGGTCTTACATAACATCCCTTATATGGGCGACGAAGTGCTGCTGTGGCTGCCGAGCAAGTAGCTCCTCAACTAATTCTTGATACTGCCGTTTCACGTGCCTCTGTCCCTATCGTCAAAACAGTGGCTGCTCCACAAGCAGCTAAACCAGCTTCGGGAGTTTACATACATTTTGCCCACCATTTGGTCCATTGAGTCCAAAATAACGCTTTCTTTATGATGCTCTCAAAGCCCCGCAGAAGAGCTCTTCCAATAGTGAGACCATCGATGAGGAGAACACCGCTAATGGTGTCAAACGAGATAAACAGATCATTCTTCGGAGCGAACGCTCGACCACTGCCACCCGTATGTCATAATTGCCACCAATTGTGTCACCAGTTGTTTGGTCTCTAAGTATTGATTGTATTTGTATTCTTAGAAATGACTCGAATTCAGACAAAAATCGCTCCGAATATGATATATCACGCGATCGCTGCTGTCTTTACAGATAAGGGAACTCCTGAAGAATTGGCGGAAAAGTGTGTCTCGTTTTTAAAATTAATTTCATAAACATAACCTTAATCTCTATCGTGTTGTTTAGATACCAAGAATTGGTACTAAAGCGAGAGACAGGAGCCATTGTTGGTGAGCTCAGCTGAGGATTATAGCTACCTTTGTTATGAGTCAGAATAGGAGCCCTTGTCTGATACGTAAGTAAGGTATGTGAGAAGACAGCCGCTACAAAGTTTATGCTGACGAAAGAAGTGCGTAACTCACATTTGAGTTGTTTTTTAATTTACACTCAAATTATTTCCAATCCGTTGCAGCCTTTCAACCGATTCGCACAAATAAGAGGCGACACAACAACCTCGAGAAGAAGTCGGAGCCCTGCGGTTCCCAATGTTTCCTTCATATTGTATGTTATCTTTGTTTAAAAAGTTTTCAGTTATTTATATATGGATTTGGTTTAGGATTCCGTGAAAGAGAAGATCATTAAAGAGAAACAAAAACAAGAGGAAAGGCGTTCGTCGAGGAATCAAAACAATGGTAACGACAGCGGAAACGATGCGAGCAGTGAAGACAGCAACGACTCAATCAAATCGCTGCCAATTAAAGGTCTGTTTAATTGTAAATAATTGCGGTATTTATAGTCCTTTGGTTTGTGTTGATCAGACACTCAAAGCAAAAGTCGTTCCCAAAGCCGTTCCCATTCGCCCCAACTCTCCAACTCTGAGATATCGTCTAATAAGATGTGTTCGGACGAAGACAGCAATAACCCGCAGATGACTCCGAAGCGTAACAAATACCGGCCCTCTAAGAACTTCTCGCCGCCCAATAACCACGACTACTGTCTCCCTCCGCCCTCTCCCGACGACGAGTTACTTCCCACGAGTAGTGAAGTTGTGTCCACAATAAGTCTGTCCGACATTAACACTGAATGGAGTGGTTCTGAACAGTCGTTGTTTCGCGTACTCATCAAAACTCTTTACAATAATTACTGTATTATTGCGTCAATCCTGAAGAGCAAGTCCTGCGCAGAGGTCTATGTATTCGCTCAGAAAGAGTTGACAGACTGTCCACAAGAGGACCACATTATAGACAAAACACCGCCGCGTAAGAAGAAAAAGAAGCACAGATTGTGGTCCAATCACTGCCGCAAATTCCAACTCAAAAAGGACGGCACCTCTAATCACGTCTATAACTACACTCCATGTGACCATCCGGGCCAGTCATGCGACCAGTCCTGTCCCTGTGTTATGGCTCAGAATTTTTGTGAAAAGTTCTGTAATTGTAGTTCCGATTGCGCCCAACGGTTCCCGGGCTGTCGGTGTAAAGCCCAGTGTAATACCAAACAATGTCCCTGTTATCTGGCGGTCAGAGAGTGCGACCCTGACCTCTGTCAGGCCTGTGGCGCAGGTATCTAACAACAGTAGTTGGTGTGTGTTTTGCAAATATATTAATTGATTGAAATACTTGCAGATCTATTTGACGCCCGAAACATTAGCTGTCGTAACGTTAGTGTTCAGAGAGGAATGCGGAAACACCTGCTGTTGGCGCCGTCAGACGTGGCCGGTTGGGGCATATTCTTGGAGGGAAGCGCTCAGAAAAATGAGTTCATTAGTGAATATTGCGGTGAAATCATATCACAAGACGAGGCCGACCGCAGGGGAAAGGTTTACGACAAATATATGTGTAGTTTTCTATTCAATCTGAACAATGGTTTGTCTTTTGATTATTTGTAATTTTGTGTAATATTTTAATATTTAATGTTTTATTGTCTTATTTGTTAGACTTTGTTGTGGACGCCACCCGAAAGGGGAATAAAATTCGGTTCGCAAACCATTCAGTGAACCCCAACTGTTACGCAAAGGTAATGATGGTTATGCCCCTGGTGTCCTAGCCGTATAAACGGTTTGCCCGCTAAGTCAGCCCCCTCCTCGAGAAGAAACTGATGTCTATACCTGGCTGTCTTGTCAACTTTAAGCACCCGTAACTCGCGCTTTACCTCAATATTTAGCATTTGATACCATTTTTCATTTTAGCTAATTTTTTACATTTTATATCAACTCATAACTAATTGTCTATCAAATGACTATTTTTTATAACATTTACTGTACAATTATTCACTTGATATACTGTAATGCAAATAATTTCACAAATTCGTAATTACGATGTGACTAATTTTTGATTAACGGTTTTAAGTAATTAATGAGTGCTTAATTTATGTAATGATTTTTTATAAGTTAGGAATTTATTTGATTTTATGAAATTTCAATGTTTTAATTTCAATTCAATACCGTACTGTAAGTTATGTGAAATTTTAATAAAAGACTTTTTTCCATATAAAAGATATCTTGTCTTTATTTTCTGAGTAATCATTGCTTAGAAATGACGAAAAGAAAGCACCGGAGTTATGGCTTAATCTGATATTTTCAACATTTGAGTCTTTTATGACATACAAAATAGTCATAATATAATTGAAATCATTTAAGGCTTATTACTATTCAATAAAGTGAGTTGTAAGCTGATAATAAACTAAACTTATATTTATTTTTAAAGGTCTTTATAATGCTATATTAGTATATTTATCTTTATTAGTTTTGTTAATTAATAATTTACGAATAGTTTTCATGACTTATTGAGAGTTTTGTATGTGAAACACATTTACTTTGTTATTTTATTAATAGCATTACATTGTGTTTATGACTCTAAAGTTCACAATAAGTGTTAATTTAAATAATTAATTATCCATAAAGTGGTTAATCGCCGCAGCGGTAGATATGAGACAAAATAAAGGCAGTGATAAGCATAGGCTATAATAATAACAAACACTTTATTCCGGAAAAGCAATTGAGATAAAGCTATCATTGAATCAATACTCCATTCCTGTGTTGACTCAGTTTACTCATAATTTTCATACAAAACATTAAAAGAAATCTATAGAACCCACATTAATTATCACATTATATACGACAGACAGCTTGTAGTCTTAAATCATTTGAAAAGTTTCTTATGCCGAACAGTGGTTTGCAAATAAACCATCAATTGGTCTGCTTTTCACTATGTCTTTGAATTCTTGTGATAATACGACAGAAAACTGGGGTAATTAGCCTGTCCTAAACGAATTAAAACACGAGTTTAGGTGCCTTAGAGACGTATTACAGTATTTATTCCGTTTCGAAAGCTGCGTTTGTTGAGTATCTTTTTCCTTTAGAAGCGAGTTTTCCTTTGTGATTTTTAAAACGAAATCATCTAAAAAGAGGAACCAATTTAAGGTTTGTATTCTATTGGCTTTATGTTTTGCACCAAGGTTATTATGCTATCATTTAGTGCTTTTACTTATATTTTAATACAAAATAAATTCTTATTGTACAAATAATACTAAATTTAAATACAACTTATATCCTAAATTAAGATTTCATACTACAATGTATGAATTAATTGCAATTCTTGTATATACAGTATTATAAGATGCTTTAGCTTTATTACAGTAATATAAATATGGATGGTTATATGCTACAGTATTCATAATACAGTACAATACTCTACTTTGTAAATTATAATATTAATAGCCACTGTCCGAAGTTGATATACAGCTTAAACTGTAAGATTAATTTAATGAATGAGTTTATAATAGCAATCCCTTCCCCCAACTCACCCCTCAATATCCATAATTCTGTGTTTTATTAAACTTCATATAAATTACACACCACTCGAGAGTTCAGTGAGTTATGGGATTCACATTTGGATGCTTACTGTATCATACAAAAAGGGGTTTGGGTTTCAATGGGCTAATTTGGCACAGAATAGTGGTGCCTATCATTATTATGCTAATCTGTTTGGTAGAGAAATTGTATTTATAAATGATTATTATTTCGATAATAAAAATATCCTTTTATTGTTTGACTAAAGAATGAATCAAATGATAAGACCTCGTCTTCATATAAAATGGACAATCATTTCGAGACAAACAAATCAGTCGTGAGTTCGAGCGATGACTCAACGAAACTGGATTTGGATTATGAATTAGACCTGAGTTTGAGTTCATGTGAAGAGTTATATGAGATCCCAATGGAAGACCTGCTGTCGTCCCCCTCTTGGAAACAAATAGTCGAACAAAACTCTTTTCTTTGGCCATAATTTGTGTGGTTTTCATGTAAAACAAGAACTTTTAGAAGTGAGACAAATATCATATTCAATAAGTAATATACTAAACATAACTTATAATTGAATAAATCATAAACCTGTCAATATTTGATAATAAAAATACTCTCATTAAAGATTCTGTATGTTATTCATGTAATTATCGTAACAAACAAAAATAGTTCTCATAAATCGTTTTGAAAACTTAAATAAAGTTTAAAACAAATTCATTGTAAAATAATTGTCTAAAAATTATTATTAAAGACTTAAATTCTACATTAAAATATGGAAAACTTGAAAACACTTTAAAAATTGTTTGATGACAAACATTTAAAAGTTGTATTTCGACAGTCAGCCAAATAACGGTAAACCTAAGCTTTGTAATAAATGTATAAAAATTATTACAAAGATTAAGATTATTAAAATTATTAGAAAGAGGAGGGGAGGGCGGGGGACAGACAGACACTAACATCAAGAGGGTCCTCAGGGTTCGCAGACAGGAGAGCCCCGACCCTTGCAGACGGGTTCGACCATTCAGTCGAAGGCGTTAAAAACGCGTCCAAAATAGGCGAGAAGATGGCCTCAAAGTTTTTGACCAAACCTTCTGGAGTGTGAACCACCGGCTCATCCGTGTCGGGCATTGCTTCTAATACACAGTCGGGCACCGGAGGTTAAAAAGTGGGCTTCAGTATATCCGGGGTCCGATCAAGTGTGTGCGGATCAACCATCAGTGGAATGGGCTCTTCAGCCGTGGGGTCGTCAGCCGTGATCTCATCGCTCAACTCGAGTGAGGGTTTGTCTGCCTCGAAGAGTGGGTCGACTGCGGGCTCATCCGTCGGCGTGAAAAGGCCTCTAAAGTGATATCTTTATAGGACTGGGTCTGGAATCACAGGACAGGGAAGCAGTAAAGGAAGTAAAGCATTAATTCATTGCTCAAAACAAATTGTTTTTATTGTTTTGCTTCCAATAGACACACAATTCTGTTAATTCTTTGAGCCTTTAGTTTAATTTCAATTCTAAATGTTATATAAAAATTAAAATATTTGAAACATTGACTAAAACTTATTGATTACAACAAAAAGAAAATAGTGGAAGGGATGTGAGGGATGGGAGGCATCAGGTTTTTGATACAGAATAACTAAAATATCAATACTATTCTGTTTGACTTTTAAAACTATCAGTAAAACTACTAAATTTGTTTGAGACAGGTTATGAGTAGATTGTGTGATGGACCTGTTTTGTCAGATAAATATTGTGCTTGGTCAGAATAAGACTATTTATTACAATATATACAAATTTTGAGTGATACGGTATATCAAAACATGTTTGTGTTACTTTTTATTGATAAAAACAGATAAATTTTCATTTGATAACAAACTCAACAAATGATTAATAAATATTACGGTATATAATATAATATACTATATATAAAAGAATTGGTAAAATATTTGTACAGTAATTGTAATATTCTGAATATCGAATAATAAGTTATAAGAATACAAATATCTACCCGTGCTAAATATTAATGTTTATCTCATAACTGACTTAGACTTTGGATTAAGTAAACATTGGGAACATTAATTGACTTTTGATTTATAATGTTCTATTTGTTAATATTGTTTTCTATTAAACTAATCTCATTATTAAAATTTAAAAACTTTAATAAATTGTTGGATTGAATGTGTAGTAAAAGTGATTTCAAAGAATCCGTGTCCGACTGCACTCTGAAGGAGAACCGATATGAATGGCTGTCTTCTTGAGCCTCCAATTTAATTCTTTGTGATATTAATCGCAAACAATCAAAGAATTGAACCTTTAAGTATGGCTTTACGTAAACTTCATTGCAAACCGTGAGTAACACGGTGAGTAAATTCAGCTATTATCGGGAGTTTAGCCGATTAAGACAGAGGTGAAGTAAGTTACGAGCGTATTATAACCAGAAAATGAAGTGAATATTAGTTGCGTTAAACCAGTTGTGGTTAATAGAGATGGTGTCCTCTGTGTTGACTACTTCATGGATATAACCGCTGGGAATGAAAATAATTTCACCGCTCTTTTGGATCACTTCAAAGCCATTCATAGCTCGCAAATGAGTCGACGAGTCGGTAATTGAGTGGAAATTATGTGGCATTTGATTGCCGTTAAGGGCTTTGATCTGCGGCTCATTCCCCGGAGGAATAATCAGCCATTTCTTTGTACCGCATATGTTGGCCGACCAACTGAATGATCCGAAGACATCCACGTGTAATGGAGTTCTGTTGGCATCAAACAAATCATCAAATCATGGGCTCATTACTTGTTTAAAAGTCTTATTCAACTAATCAAAGGAATGGTAGCAAAGGGTGTATACGAGGAGTGTTTTGGTCCCATATATACGAATCGGAAGTCATCGTTGAGTTGGTGTCCAATGAAGGCCTCATTAACCCAATCGGACTCAAAATAAACGGGTCTTTCGTATGCATTATAGTCGGGGAACTGACTGACAAAATGCCAGTCCTTTAGGTATAATATCTTCAAATCATTGGAGGAATAGTTGTGATCAAGTCTTTGCACTCTTTTCCAGTAATCGATGTATTCATTGAAAGTCATCTCTTGGTTGGGGTTTGAGTTGAAATACTTTGCGTTGCAATCAGAGACACAAACCAATGCCTCGCCTTAGAGTTGGTCCAGACATTAGTTTCTCACATCAAATCATTCACTCAATTACAAGAACTCACCGAATAATCGGCTCAAGAGATCCAAATTTGGTTTACCATCACTTGTCTGCCATTCCTTACAACTTCTCCATGAGTGAGTCAATCCCTCAAATATACAGACTTTGTTTTGCACTAAGAATTGGTTATAGAAGTACTCATAACTTGTATTTGCATTAAGTCTTGGGATGGGATCAGACATCATATGATTTGTGTTTATCACTCAAACTTTAAAAACCAAACTTTCAGTCAATGACTGAGTGTTTGTTTGTTGACTACAAACATGTGTTCACTCATTGACTCATTGAGTCATTCATTGAGTGAATGTATGAATGAATGCATTGAATGTCTGTTTGACTCAACGATTACAACAAAACTACACTTTCATTGACTGATCACTTGTTAACTTAGGTTACCGGTAGCTCAGTGACTTACTTCTCCTCAGTGGTGACTAAATACCAGAGCTCAAAGTCTCGTCTAGGGACACGTCGAGTAGGTTACGCCTGTGGAGACGCGTCTGTAAGCACGCGTTTCTGGTGGGCACACAATCCCTGAAGAATGAAAATCAGATCCATTTGTTGGAGTACCTGGAGGACAGCAATAGTCTGTCGAAAGCCGTGTTCAGACACTCTTGTGGTGAGGTGTGGGACGTGTCCACACATCCCAAACACTCGCAACTCATGACAACCTGTTATTCATCGCAATCGCAGACATTCGCCGGTAAAGTGGAGAACCACTGCTCTCTTTGGACACTTCCCATAGATATGTCCAAACCATTGACAGATGAAGACTCGACCACTTCTTCAGTTAACTGTTTTCACACACTAAATCTCGGCTGCCCGCTTCTCTTATAGCCGTCTTGGCGACAGACCGTAGGTCTTCTACCGGTAGTTTAGTACAGTAAGTGACTGTTATTTGAGAAGAATACCCTGTTCGAAAGCCACAAAAACGTGTCGACAATTAATGCCGACTTTAATGTCACCACAAAGAGTTCCAACCGATTCAATAAGATAACGACATTCAGGTGGAGTCCGCACTCCAACTGTGGTCTCATAGGAATCGCGAACTCCAACTGTATTTACGCGAAAGACCTGCGAGTGAAGAGCACTTCCAACACCAACGCCTGGTCTATACCTAACTCTCACTCACAACTGGTTCGGGATCTGGACTTCAATCCCAACGCTCAGTACTATCTGTCGAGTTGTGGCGACGACTGCGAGACCCGCTTTTGGGACGTCCGCAACACTACGCGACCGGTGCTGTCACTGACCAATCACTCGCACTGGGTTTGGTCCGTCAGATATAACCTCTTCCACGACCAACTGGTCCTCACGTCCAGCAGTGACTCGCGAGTAGTGCTCATACGAGCCGTGTCTGTGGCCTCACAACCCTTCGGACATCTGCTCGAAGACGAGATGGCAGACGAAGACAATGGAGTCACTCATAACAAGAGCTCTTCGGCCATCGATGGGGTGATCGCCACGTATGAGGAGCACGAGGACAGTGTGTATGCGGTCGAGTGGTCTGTAAGCGATCCCTGGATTTTCGCGTCACTTAGTTATGACGGAAGGCTTGTCATCAATAAAGTGCCCAAAAGTGAAAAATTCAATATTTTGTTCTGATTTTGTATTTGATTTACAAATTATTTATTACCTAATCATAAATATTTTATAGTTTAATAAATTCACTACAAATGTATGAAAAACTATCATAAGTTACAGTACAGTCACGTATCATTAGAAACACAATTATGAAATGATTTCTAAACAAAATAATTATTTTATTGCTTTAAATAAATAAGTTTTGCTCACAATTTGTATACAAAATATCTCTATTTATAAATTACTATACCGTAAGAAATAATAGATTTTAAAAATTTGTTAACTAAAAACCCTATCATTGAATTAATGGATCAATTAAGTGACTAATCCACGGATCAGTCTATATGTGAATATTTATTAGTATTGAGAAGAGATTGTCTCTTATTTCTGTCCAAATAATTGGTGAAAGAGTTGTGATTATGAAGCCTTCGTTCGCAGACTTTATCGAAAAATCGACTCAATTTGACGGCATTTGTGGACCCGGGAGCTAAGCTACGGGTCTGATGGCAGTCCACTTCGATCTCTTCGGCGCCGCACTCTTCGGCCAAAGAGGACATGCGATGAGAGCGATGCAGAGGAAGGTGTGAGACGTGAACTGACTCTCGCTTTGTGGCCACGACTAAGACGGGAATATTGCGCTCAAAGAAGGCCTCCCTATCGAAGTGGATCTCGTCGTCGGTGTTGACCGGAAACAGAGCGGCAGACAGACTGGTGTTGAGGGAAGTGTTGTTGTCTTTGATGGTGTGGTCCTTGTTGTAGAAGACATGTCCCAACCATTTGCGGAGATTGGCCTCAGACTTGCTGTTCGTGAGGTCGTGCACCAGAATTATGCCGTGGAATCCGTTGTAGAAGACATTGCGGGCAATCGAGTGGCTTCTGGAGCCCCCGATGTCCCACAACTCGATGAAACTGGTCCTCTGTTCAGGTGTGCCCTCCATATACTCGTGAAGCTTCACATCAATGGTGGCGCCGATTGTCCACAAAGGGTTGGCAATGGGCTGACCCTGACATATGAGGTGCACCAGTGAAGACTTGCCCACTCCTGAGTCGCCCAACACTAACACTTTGATCTTATCGGTCGAAGACATCACTAAATGAGTGGTAATTTGAATGACAATCGCATCACTATTACGGTTACGTAATGTTAATACTTGTCAATACATACACATGACATATCATAACCCAGACAATACGTGAGTTACGACTGTAGACAAATCACAAACGAAAGTATCTTTACGGTTTTGAAAAAGTTTAGTATACAAACTTACTTTTGTTGAAAAACGTGTGTAAAGAGACACTAACTCTAAAATGTTTAGTAATTTAATGAAATTAAATATCATTTCATTTCAAAGCAAAGCATTAAATGCATTGAAATATAAACAGTGTTTGAATTGCATTCAAATAAGAGACCATTCATTGGATTCAAGACATAAAACAAATGATTACTTCATAACTACTCCAATATTTTACGTCAATTCAGGTCTCAATTGAATTGATGTCCTATTGATTGATGCAATGATTGGTCTAAACAGTGATTGTCTGTCCATTAGTTCCACACATCGGACACTTGTATTCAGCAATCATTGCCGACACTATCCATAGGTATCACCGAATATGTGGCAAAAGTGAGACCATATTCTCGACGGGAACCGATGAATACGGCATCAAAGTATGACCATTGAGTGCATCCATTGAGACAATGGTTTAATTGATGACATCAACACTGAGTAAACTTCGAATCTAGGTTTCTCGCCGAGTTAACTCTCCTTAACTCTGGTTTCATAAAACGCTGGTTTATAGTGTTGTCAAGGCTTCAGAGAAGCTCAGTTCACTATAGTCAAAGTGACACTTTATTAGGACTACCGATGAGTTGCACCGAAGAGCTGTTCAAACCTTTTGGACCACTCTTTGGAACAATGGATTCATTCATAAGTCTTCATACGAGGGCTGGTATTGTGTGTCTGACGAGACATTTGTCACCGAATTACAGGTTATTACGAATGCAGACAACGTTAAGGTTTCTGCAGAGTCTGGAAATCCTGTCGAGTGGTCTTCCGAAGACAATTATATCTTCAAATTGAGTCAATTTAAGGATCAGATACTCGATTGGATCAACAGTGGAGATACAGTGAAACCTTCAGTGTTTGCCACAATCCTTAGTCATGAGGTCGAGAAGGGATTGCGAGACATATCTGTATCCCGACCTAAATCCAGACTCAGTTGGGGTATTGAAGTCCCCAACGATTGCACACAAGTTGTACGCGAAATACAGTTATGAATAAAGTATTGGTTTGTTTTATTTGATTCAATAATATTCATAGATATACGTCTGGTTTGACGCTCTCATCAATTATCTAACGGTTTCGGGATATCCAAGCGATGAGAATCACGTCTGGCCACCAGATTGTCAAGTCATTGGCAAAGATATACTTAAGTTTCATGGCATCTATTGGCCGGCATTCCTGATGGCCGCTGGACTCAAACCTCCCCGTTCTCTGCTCTGTCACTCCCATTGGCTCAAAGATGACATCAAAATGAGTAAAAGCAGAGGCAATGTTGTCGATCCAATTCACTGCATCAATCAGTATACCAGCGATGGCTTTAGATATTTCCTTCTGAGACAGGGATCTCTTCACACCGACTCGAGTCAGAACTTATAGCATGTAATGTACTCATTATAATTGATTTAATAATTTTAATAACTATTTTCCAGACTTTACTGAACTTAAAGCAAAGCAATATTTGAACGCAGAATTGGCCGACAATTTTGGTAATTTGTTGAATCGATGCACAGCTAAAGCCATTAACAAAAACCAAATATATCCCAACTTATCATTGAATGACTTCAAATCCATTGAAAGCGAATCCTTTGAACTCATAGAAAGGATACAAAATTTAGCCAAAAATTGTGAAAATCATTATTTAAGTGGAAGTTTTCATTTAGTAATCAATGATATTATGGATTGTTTGCGACTAAATAACATATTTTTCAATGAAACCAAACCCTGGCTTTTGGCGAAAGAAGAGACTGAAGAACAGAAATTACTTTCAGTTCTTTACATCACTTTGGAAGCACTCAGAGTGTCTGCAATACTACTCCAGCCAATAGTTCCTAATATTGCAAATCAAGTCTTAAACAAATTAAATATAAGTCCTTCGGAACGCAATTGGATTAATGCCGAGCAGACGTTCCCCTCCCAAACCATTGACTCTCAACAGAATAAGTCATTGAGTTCCCGGAAATCAATAGTTTTTGCTAAAATATAATTATAGAATTTTTTTTTATTCATAAGTAAAATCTTTAAAATAAAAATAAATTGAAAGTCTTTGTGTTTGTTATAAAATGAATTATTTATTCAACGATAATATCCTATTTTGAAGAGTAGTCTTATGTAAAAGGATTTTCTAAAACCTGTAGTTCTGTTCCAGTGTTTGAATTATCGACAAAAATAGTTTTCGTGATTTTAATAACACAGTTACAGTATAAGTCAGTTGTTACCGTATGTTTGACAGCATTAGACTTATATTAGGCACTTGTTTGGAGTTATTTCATTAAATCAAATCGGAGTTAGACTAGTTTACAGTAATAATACAACTAATAACAATAATAATGTAATACCGTAACAATAATACCTGTTTTAAGAGTTGATATATTGCCACAAAATTCATATATACGGTCTACTGTAATACAGTATAAGTTGATTAGAATAGTTTTATATAAGCAAAAAACTTTCATTGAAATGTATTTATATTTTGAAATGACCTGAAAAAGAGTCACTCATTATTTTAAAATCCTTTTACAATTGAATTGAATTTTTATGAGAATTCAACAATTTTTTGTTATTTTTGTAACAAAACAGCATATTTGATTTGAAATCTGGAGTAAAACAAAACTTTTTACTGTTATATTTTTGTTATTATAATAAGTTATTTAATCTTATTATAACTATAATGCATAACAAGTTAAAATGAAGTACAGACACACTAATTGACAAAACAATTCAAAACTTTTTTTTAAAATAAATGAAAAGAGTATAAGAACTTTTTTACTATAAAAGTAGCAAAAACTTCAGACATTGAATAAGTTAAAAACTAGTTAAAACCTATACAGTAATCCAGTATAACTTATGCAATAAAATGATGTCATTGAGTACATTAAGACAAAACCACAAGAATCACAATTTAACGCATATATGAAGTAAATTAATTAAAATTATTTCCTCGCAAGGGATCCGAGAAAAGTTGGTTTCCATTCAAAACCCATTCCGTTGTAAACGACTTCTAATTGCATTGTTAATAATTTTACAAAAAGTTAATTGATATTAAAATAAAAAGTACAGAACTTGTAATTTAAATTAACCAAAACTGAATTTCACTCTACTCCATTTTCAACCCGTTTTTCAAAAATTGTCACTTAAATAAGGCAAGTAATAGTGAAGACTTGTTTAGACGTCATATGAAATGACAGATAATTATATAACAAACATATTTGTATTGTTTGAAAGTTTTATGAAAATACACATTGATTTGTAAAACAGGAATTGAGGTTCAATTCAGTCATCAGTCACTTCTAACTGCAATCTATTCAATAATACTATTTATACCTATTATTACACTTTATATAAAATTAAACTAATCTTACAGTCAATGTATGCATAATTGTGTTACAGTTCCTAATATTGTGCTGTATTTGTGTTAATATGCTGTACTTTGCTTTCAATTAAACTACTCGTTATGTCTATTGCAATACAAACAAATGATCTAATAGTGGTAAATGTTGATATGTTCAGTGATATGTTCATGGTCATTCATCACTAGTTTTAAGACACGCCATAAGAGTGGACCAAAAGTTTGACAAAAGTTTTGGATTGCATTGAATGCATAGGTTTTGCTGCGTATTGTGTTTCTGCTGTACGGTATGTATGGCTCACTGTATGCTCACTGTATGGACGCATAGACTATGCGTCGGTAGTGATAGTACGCATGAGTTGTTGGCAAATGTGAGCCAAACATGAGTTTAAGCGCAAAACAAACCAAACGTTTTGTAGTGAACACTGACTTCATATGAAACAGTCGTTCGCAACAAAAACATAGCTTTTGATCGCATTTACTCTCATTTTAAGTGCTTTTCTCAGTTCGAGAGCTATTATCGCATCACTTGTGACCGAAATGCCAATCAATCGGCCATTTGGTGCCCCAATATTGACACCAATTTGTTGGGAAGCGTTGCCGTCGTTTCGATGAGTTGTAGCCTAACCCTCGAGTACTCCATTTGCAACCTCTCGTGCTCTTCAGAGAGTTTCCGGAAATGTTTTAAATTAGTTTTATCACAATTTCCACACTTTATGCCAATTATAGCCGAATCGCGGCTCGAGTTCGACACCGGAGAGGACGGGCTGTGAAGAGCGACCGGACTTCGCATCACAGCACTACTCGTCATGTCATCCAACACTTTGTGGCGATATTTGTCGCCATTATGATCGTCCAAACCATTAGTTTTAGTCAATTTGCCGAAACTGTTTCTCACAAACTTCGGGATCAGAGCCTCTCTGAGACCACCACTCGACTGATTCTTCCGCAGTTTGTGTGCATTCAGTGACATCTCAAGAGACGTGTGCTGTGACTGTGACTGACATGTGTTGTGATTGTCTCCGAAGTGTCGACCACTCGATAGTCTGCTTTGCATTGAACTCCTGGACGACAAGTGATTGTCTTCTGTGGTGTTGGAGTGCATGAGATGTCCACTCATGAGGTACTGGTCGCGTGCCCTCTGAGGCAGTCGTAGACTTCGAGTTCGCGTCAGATTAGTGGTCCTCTTCATTATGGATTCACTGGACGTGTCATCGCCTCTGCATTTGGCCGAAGAGCTGATGGTGGAGGCCGTGAGTCTTGAGGAGGGGTAACCCCGTGGTTTACCGGCTAACTAACCGTAAAGCCAGTGTTCACTACGCTATTATCGAGAGCTTGACTCTTTTCGTGAATTTTACTCTCATTTACGCTAGTTTTCGATACAAAAACAACGCTTGCTGTGTTTCATATGAAGTCAGTGTTCACTACAAAACGTTTGGTTTGTTTTGCGCTTAAACTCATGTTTGGCTCACATTTGCCAACAACTCATGCGTACTATCACTGCCGACGCATAGTCTATGCGTCCATACAGTGAGACATACAGTGAGCCATACATACCGTACAGCAGAAACACAATACGCAGCAAAACCTATGCATTCAATGCAATCCAAAACTTTTGTGCAACTTTTGGTCCACTCTTATGGCTGTCTTAAAACTAGTGATGAATGACCATGAACATATCACTGAACATATCAACATTTACCACTATTAGACCATTTGTTTGTATTGCAATAGACATAACGAGTAGTTTAATTGAAAGCAAAGTACAGTGTATTAACACAAATACAGCACAATATTAGGAACTGTAACACAATTATGCATACATTGACTGTAAGATTAGTATAATTTGATATAAAGTGTAATAATAGGTATAAATAGATGTATTGAATGGATTGCAGTTAGAAGTGACTGATGACTGAATTGAACCTCAATTCCTGTTTTACAAATCAATGTGTATTTCCATAAAACTTTCAAACAATACAAATATGTTTGTTATGTAATTATCTGTCATTTCATATGACGTCTAAACAAGTCTTCACTATTACTTGCCTAAGCATTCACTGTTAAAAACTTTTTGCCCAACTTTTACCTCATCTCACTTTAAGTCAAAACCAATTAAATTTAATGTTCAAGACATGAAAAATAAAATTATAGTTAATTGAAAAACATTTTAATAATTGTTNAAAAACATAGCTTTTGATCGCATTTACTCTCATTTTAAGTGCTTTTCTCAGTTCGAGAGCTATTATCGCATCACTTGTGACCGAAATGCCAATCAATCGGCCATTTGGTGCCCCAAACCCCTCCTCAAGACTCACGGCCTCCACCATCAGCTCTTCGGCCAAATGCAGAGGCGATGACACGTCCAGTGAATCCATAATGAAGAGGACCACTAATCTGACGCGAACTCGAAGTCTACGACTGCCTCAGAGGGCACGCGACCAGTACCTCATGAGTGGACATCTCATGCACTCCAACACCACAGAAGACAATCACTTGTCGTCCAGGAGTTCAATGCAAAGCAGACTATCGAGTGGTCGACACTTCGGAGACAATCACAACACATGTCAGTCACAGTCACAGCACACGTCTCTTGAGATGTCACTGAATGCACACAAACTGCGGAAGAATCAGTCGAGTGGTGGTCTCAGAGAGGCTCTGATCCCGAAGTTTGTGAGAAACAGTTTCGGCAAATTGACTAAAACTAATGGTTTGGACGATCATAATGGCGACAAATATCGCCACAAAGTGTTGGATGACATGACGAGTAGTGCTGTGATGCGAAGTCCGGTCGCTCTTCACAGCCCGTCCTCTCCGGTGTCGAACTCGAGCCGCGATTCGGCTATAATTGGCATAAAGTGTGGAAATTGTGATAAAACTAATTTAAAACATTTCCGGAAACTCTCTGAAGAGCACGAGAGGTTGCAAATGGAGTACTCGAGGGTTAGGCTACAACTCATCGAAACGACGGCAACGCTTCCCAACAAATTGGTGTCAATCGATGGCCAACAGCTCGCAGACGACCCCCAACTGGAGCTCAAGAAAGAGAAGTCTTTGGCCAACAATTATAAGACGGAAATCATTCGCCTTCAGGAAGAGCTCAAACGACTGCAACGCAAGTATTGGGAGAATATTATATACCAGAAGAATGTGCAGAAGAGTCACACAAATGGATCCAAAGCCGACTCGATGTCCAATTCATCCAACTCTCAAAGTAAGCCAATATTTCATTCAATGTGAACCTAATTGTGATTTTTATTATCTATTTTTTATCGCTTATTTTTATCGCAATTTCCAAACATTAAGTCATTTTATATTTTTATTGTTTTACACATTATTTTCATTTTCTTTTTGTTGGTTTTGTTTTTCGCAAACCTTTTATTAAACAGTAAATCAATGAATAAATTAAAATAAATTTTAGATTTCTTTAGTTTTAGGCATTGATTTAAAAAGTAATAATAACTTTATTACATGAGCTTAAAGTATACCAAATCGTAAAACACCTGTTATTGAGGCAATTATTGTTTGTGCAAATGTCGTGACTTTTGAGTGAGAATTTAATTTTTTGTGTTAAGAATTTGTAATTTTAATGTTTAGTGTCTGACTTTCCGTCTGTCTGTCCTTCATATGAATTC